GAGCTGGCGGGCGCGGCGCCGTTCCCAAGCAGGTGGCCAATGACCGCCACGCCGTGCGACCCGAGCTGTTATGACCTGAGAGCAACGAGTAGGTCGCTTCTCTCTCTCTCTCTCTCTCTCTCTCTCTCTCTCTCTCTCTCTCTCTCTCTCTCTCTCTCTGTCGCTCGCTCCCCCCTCGCTCCCTCCCTTGCTCCCTCCCTCGCTCCCTCTCTCGCTCCCTCTCTCGCTAGCTCGCTCCCTCTCTCTCGCTCCCTCGAGAGAGAGATCCCTCTCGCTCTCTTTCTCTCTCGCTCTCTGCGACCCGCTCTGACCCCTGCGCGGCGCACACGCGGGGGTCAGAAATGACTGTCATTTCGTATCCGCCGTTGCTCCCGCCGCTGCTCGCACCGAGGCTCGCACGGCCCAACGGGACCTAACACGTGCGTAATGACCGCATGTTTGTTCTTAAGTAGAGCACACATGCACAACTCGAGACTTTCACAACATTATGCTATTATTTCTGCACACCGAAAAGCGCCGCGCAACGACTGCTGAAAAAAAAATGCATGTCCCTTATACCCGCGCGCCTATGTGCGAAATGGCAATACCGAAAGGGTATGTTAAAAGGGCCATTTTGGGGACAACACTATGACAATATCACAACTCACTCGCCTCTGAGCTGCCGCGGAGACTTTTCAATGGGAGAAGAACTAAAAGGTGCCCCGCGCCACAGGTGTGACGTTGTGTGTCCCTCTCTGAAACCAGGTAGTATAGTACTTACATGAGAGCGTGCTCGTGTGCGTGCCCAGCCCAGGTGAGAGAAAGACCCGTCCGCCGGGGCGTTGGCAATTGTTTTCCTCGTTTCGTTTCATTATTATATATATCGTTATTATACCGTATTTTTGTCATCGCCCCCCTCGCTGCGCCTAATTGAGCCCCACTTCATCCTGCTCCACCTAATGGAACGGAACCGTCCAAGTGGGCGGCACGGCACGAGCTCCACCACCCAACGATACGATTATATCGATACCATTTTTCTATCGATATCTCGAAACGCGTTACTTTTGTGGCCAACGGTGTATATTGTAAACGCGATACGATATGGAGGACCCGTAACGTCGTAGCGTGATTTTACATAGTCGGAGAGGAAATCACAATAAGGAAAAAGAGGAGAAACTCGGACTGAAAATTATCGTAACAATACCTTTTTTGGTATTGACGGAGAGAGGAGCCAAACAAACCATGTAAACTCAACACAGCACCACCAGCGTTGCTTCAGTGTTACACAGGGGAAAGAGGCGAGGGTGGTCATGCAGGCTCTGATCCATATAAGGCACCATTGTTAGCCGGAAGTCCATAGGGCTACTGGCTACATCTTGTACGCCCTTCTGCTACAACGGGGCTGGAGGTCACCCTCTGTGCTTTAAATTTACCCGCGAAGGAAAAGAGCGGACCTGCGACCCTTGGCCTATCGCCAGTCGCCAAACCGCTACCATGTCAGCAGCAGAAGCATCAGCACCCGGAAAGAGAGTCTGCGAGAAGTGAACGACGTTTAGGCCATCGTGCGTACGCCCCGCCCCGCCATTGAGACCGAATGTGACCTACCCGCTCGCTCACCTGTTGCGGCGCACAGGTGTATGCGTGCGAGCGCCCCGCCGACCGGGGTGTGGCGGGGCGGGGCGGGGCGGGGCGGGGCAG